GTCACTGCTTCCCAGTGGGGCTGGCAGTCCCAAGAGAAGATGGAGAAGGAGGAAGGAGGAAATGAGGAGCTTATAAACTTGGCCAAGGTGTGTGTATGGGGGAACTCAAAAGAAAGACAGACAATATTTCATGGATGTAACATTTAACTGTACTGTAAGCACCATGTTCAGGGTTTGCCCACAATGACTTCCCTGGGAGCAGCACCATCACTTTGTTTTACAGACAAGAGACTGTGGCTAAAAGACTAGGGAGGTGACTTCCTTCCCCAGGACTCAGAAGTGCCAGACTTTGAGGCCAGATGACCAGCCTTCTTCTGGATCCCAGGGGCTGTTACTGAGGTGTCCCCAGTCACTGATTTTGCCTCATTAGGGAACTCAGTTTCTTTGTTTTTTGTTTTTTTCCCACAAAGCGGGGCTTTCCACCCTTCATCTTAGCAAAAGAGTCAAGCCCTCATCCATCACTCCACTTAGTTACTGCTTCTAATAATCAATTAATTAGAAAATCATTCTTAGCTTTATCCTTCGAGTCTCCAACCAATATCTCTTCTCCCATCTCTTCCTGTATCGATATCCATAATCATCACATCCATGATATAGATACACACATACATACACCAAGAAACATGACGTATGCTTGTCTTCCCAATTTGGAACATTTTGCCTAAGGAGTATGTGACATAAAGTGACAAATAGTGTTGGGAATTAGAGAATAAACACAGAAGGAATTCCCCCTCCAAGCTTGACAAACACAATAACCTCCATAAATACAATCAGAAGTTCTTATATAAATAAGAAAGACAAACGAGGTACACGACTTAGCTGAATTCTCACTCTGCTGCTGCTGCTGGAAGGTACACTGTGGACAGATGTGACATGCTGAACACAGAACACAGTATCGGCTGCTACCTGGGACACTGGGCAGCAGTATATGGCAGACATGACCAGCATTGAACACCTTCCCTTTGTGGATACTGGCCATGAGTGGACTCATTACTGACAGAATAAACATTTGCTCTCCAGTGCATGTTAACTAAGAAAGAATGTTGACCCTTGATGGGCTAGGCCACATTAGCCTCCGATGACCTCTGTTGTTGTAGACATCACCCTTAGAAGATTAGGTATGAGTGGATTTCAAACAAAGTGTCAAAGATCTGCCTTTTGCATCCTTGGTGGTCTTGTCCAAATTAGTGGCCTGTGAACTGATCTGATAGCACCTGGATGGGAGTTTCTGCCCCTGCTACTCTTTCTGAGGGCCCTTTGGCCAAGGCAGTATAGAGGAAGCAAGGGGGTGGTGGTGTGGCTACCCGGAGAGGGGAATTCCTGTTTGGAAGATCCCAATGGGCTCTCTGAATCAGACTGTTCTGTCATCCTCCCCAACACTAGGCATGCCCTTGGCTTTCTGTATTAATGAGGCAATCAGAGCTCAGGAAGAGCATCATGGATCATGGGACCTTAGAAGGGCCCCATGCTTGCTTCCCAGTTCTCTTCTTGCCATCTTGAAATTCTTAAATTCTCTAAATAACAGACCTGCATGTTGGCGTTGCACGCTGTGTCCAACAGATGCCGTAGCCAATTCTGCTGCACAGAATCCTGGCACCTGAGTCTGTGCCTTTACAGACTTCAGTCTCACATATGTGAAGAGGAGCCAAGGGAAAAGTCTGCAACTTTGACCTTGTCCTTATCTGCGCTAGGATTTCGTCAATGGTTCAATGAGATCTACTTAGAGAGCTGTGTGATCTGCCTGACTCATTTGCAACAGAAAAAAAAAAAAAAAAAAAAAAAAAAAAAAACGCTTTAATCTAATGACCATTTGGTGTCTCTGAGCACCTTTCTCCTCTTGGATTCTGAGTGCAGTGGTCCTACTCATGAAAAGTGACAGGCAAGGGGGGAATGTGGTACCTACAGATGAAGCGCTGGGCTGGTTTCCTCATTTATATGGTGGCAAAAGTACTCAGTGTAGTTGTAAGGAGAGGACAAAGGGCATTTCTAGGGCACCTTATTTTGTGACTGTCATAGTTTTTGATTCTGCACAAATGTAACTTCATTCCCCCTTCTTGTGAACTCTCATTTCTTTTTCAGGCTCAGGTAAGTCACACAATTGGTTTGTGATGAATCCAGGATTTGTGTGTATATTTGTGTGTGTGTGTGTGTGATGCGCCTTATGATTTCAAAACAGAATCTTAGCATAAAATTGGAGATGGAATATCCCAATGCACTCCTCCTAGGTGCCAGGGTCTCTGGAAGGAGGGTAAGACCCTCTGAGTATTAATGGATGGCGGGGAGCAGAGAACAGCATTCACGGCCTTGCTATGCTTGTCGGCTCGGATCTGTAGTGTGCAGCCACCAGGTGGCGCTGTGGGCCAGATGCCTCCCCAGAAGCACTACCCGAGAGAGGCTATGTTGAAAATGTTCTGATGTCTCAGGTCACAGGATGAGGCTGCAGTTTGGTGCCTGTGCCCCCATCCTCACCCCAGAAGCTCCACCCCGGTCCATTTTTTTTTTTAATTTTATTTTTGTTACTATTTTTGAGACAGGGTCTAATGCAGCTCCAACCTTGCTGCCCCAGACCTTCGTTAAGAGTCATGGTCATGGCTCTGCCTCAGGAGCGCTGGCATCACTGGTGTGTACCACCAGCCCCTGCTCCAGTTGAGTCTGAGTGCTGAGATCTCTCTGTACACCCCCCCCCCCAAGCTCTGTTCCTATCTTTAAAATTTCCATGTGTGGACAGGAGTTCACCAAGAGATCTTGTTCCAAAAAACAAAACAGAATTCCTTCAACAAGCAGGGCTTGGGGAGGGCCCAGGCCTTTTGGGTGGCAATGCCATACTTCCTCTACTCCTACATTTGAAGCCTCTCCTTCCTGGTATACAGGACTTCCTTCTTCTCCACCTGAGTAAATCTAGGGAATGGAATCCTTCCAACTCAGCTTTTTCTGCAGAGTCCAGAACATTCCAACAATGGGCATTCACCCAGGGAGTTAGATAATCTTGACAGGAAGGTCACCATGGGAGATTTGTTAACTAGAAACCCTGGACTCTGTGCCACTGACCCCTCACCCATGACCTTTTTCCTAAGTGCCGGCCTCCTTGTTCTGGTCTACTAATCATGAGCTACACAGTACAAGGCTTTCACTGGCTTTGAACTTTTCTTTAGCTAGGGATCCTGTTGTGTACCATATTTGCAACTCAGAGCAGTGCCTGGCACAGAGTAGGCTTCGGCATCAGATGGCTGGTGATAGTGGTCCTGGATACCTCCCTAGACTGGCCAGTCAGAAGAACCAACCTGTGAACCATCACTGAAATGTGCCATCATTAGAGGTGTGCAAACAGGAGTTAAGGTACCACAGCAGCTTAACAGCAATGATGGCCAAAGCTGACAGAAGGGAGTTGAGGGACACTTTGGGAACACTTCTAAGGCACATTAGAAACTGGGTGTCCTAGATGAGGAAGAGTTGAGGAGTACGGCAAGGACAGAGTTCCACAGCTACAGCCTGAATGGAGACAAGGGCGTGTCAGGGCCTCATGGCTGAAGATGCACGGATGGTGGGAAGAGGTGGGGTGACTTGGGTAGGGGGTGGAGAAAGTCAATGGGCTATAGTGAGTAGGTTAGCCTACCCAAGTATCTGTCTCCCATATGTTGTCATAAACACATAAACCCAACTCTGGAAGATACCTGGCCTTTTCAGTGAGAATAAGCTGCCCAAGGTGGGGTCTAACTAATCCTTGTAGCCCCCACCCCAGTTCAGCGATTGTCAGCAAATTCTGGTTCAATGATGGGATGGAAAGAATTCTATGTATTTATTAACCCAAGGACCAGTCAGGGGCTGGGAAGACAGAGCTCTTGATGCCTTGTGAGCATCTCTGGGGCCAGCCCCAGTGCCCACATGGTCACTGATAGCTGGCTTCTTTCCCAACACCCACAATACATGCCCAGAACAGTCTTACAAAAGTGAACAAACACAGTTATCGTCATCTCCATCCCCGGCCAGCAGAGGTGAGGGCTAAAAGTGACAGTTCATTAAGAAAAGGCAATGACTCATAAAATGAAGACGAAGGAAAGAGTCCAGGGCTAGAGAGCTGAGATGTGACCCTGGGGGTAAGCATAATGTGGATGGGAAACCCTGTCTCTTTCTGCTGAACTCCTGGAGGATTAAATGGGCCTTGGGGCTCTGGCCCATGGACACCAAGTCCACAAGTGCCCTTGGAGCTCATGGTCAGATAGCCACAATTGCACTGACTTCTTAGGAAGCATCTTGAGACAGGGTCTCTGGGGAGAATGTGCAAGTTTCCAGTCTTGATGCTAGGGAACCCCCACCCCACAGTAAGAAACTGACAGACTTGGGATTGATTGGTCCCAAGCTTCCTGAGGCTCTGAAAGGTGGACTGACTTTGCTCATACCATGAGCTGGCCATTAGACCCAGAGTCCCACCTCTGTGACCTTGTTGTCATTGCCACTGGGCTAATGGAACAGACAATGTAACAGGTCATCCAGCAAGGGGAGAGAGAGGATGGATGACAGAGAGGAAAGTACACAGTCCTAGTCTCAGCAGGAGGCTGGGCTCTTCACACCTCTCCAAAGACCTCAGGTGAGCATGTTTGCTGCTCTTGGTCCCATACTCCCATCTGTCCTCCAAGGAGGGTGGATTTGATTTTCTCTCTAAGTCCTTCTATACTTACTCGTCTACCCAGGATCCCATGAGAAAAGGAAGAAGTAGGCCTCACAGGCCCAGAGCATTGGACACTGAGCTCAAAGGAGCCCTCAGCCAGAGGACCTGAGTCAGCTTCTGCAGTGGTGGCGCCCACCCATCCACCCTCTCACATCACAAGTCAGGTCAGTCCAGGCAAAAGGGAAGGCACTTAAGGACAACAGGGGCAGGGCCCAGGAAGGGACCAGAATCTGGTTTGGCATCAAAGTCCTTCTGCTCATAATTCTGGGAAATGAGCCACTGAGACAAATGGGTAGATTTTGTTACTGGGTATAGACCCCAGGTATGAAAGCTATCCCTGGCCCACAACTTTACTGAGATGCCATCACCTAGGCCTGTAGACTCCCCACAGGCATTGGCACGTTAAAACATAAGTTAGCTGAGACCTGAGCAAGCCCAGGACAGCAGTCTGTCAAGTGGCCCCAGGCCACACCATTTGTCACAAGATGTCTGGGCCCCTGGCAGCAAATTCCTGGGTGTCTCCACAGTGTAGGACTACCTTAGGGCTGGAGCCAGGCTGTCGGGGGTAGGCACCCTCCCGCACCAGGCGCCGGCACCGCACATCTTGACCTACACTAACACTTTGTAGAGCAGGGAGGTGATGGAGCAGCATCTCAGGTACGGGTACCAGACTGGTACCTGACAGGTCTAGTTCCTGCAGCAAGCCCAGGCCTGAAAACACCTCGGCTCCTGCCCACTGGAGCTTGGGGTTGCCTGACAAGTCCAGGACCTGCAGGCCTGGGAGCTCACGGAAGCCATGGGGTGCTAACTGGAGGACACTCTGTAGGCTAGCCAGTGATAGGTGGGTGAGGCCCGACAGCCCCATGAAGGCACCGGGGTTGATGGTAGCCAGAGGGTTCCCATCCAGGCTCAGGTAACGCAGGGGCAGGTCTCGGAGATCAGGTACAGCATGGAGCCGGTTCCAGGCCAGGTTCAGGCTCTGAATGGTAGGTACAGGCAGGCTGGCCTGGGCTGGATGGGGAATCAAGCGGTGGATAAGGTTGTGAGAAAGGTCCACGTGCAGTGCCCGGCCCTGGCTGTGGGTGGAAAAGGCAGATATTGAGACCTCCCGTAGTCGGTTATGGCTGAGGTTGACATCACTCAAGGAAGAGCTGGTGAAAATCTCAGCTGGCAAGGCTGCCAACTCATTGTGGCTGAGGTCAAGCGATTCCAGGTAACGCAGGCGGGAGAAGGCAGTGGGCACGATGCTGGTGAGCAGATTGTGACTGAGATCCAGGCCAGCCAGTGTGGTATAGCCTGGCCCTGCCAGCACTGACTCATTCACGGTCGCTAGCCGGTTGGAAGACAGGTCCAGGTGGGCTGTGTCCAGAGGGATGGGCACAGGCACAATGTGGGGGCCCAAGCTGCTGCAGTCCACTCGAGTCAGGCTGAAACTGTCAAAGAGGCCAAAAGTTTCTTCCTCACACTGACACCCAGGAAAACATGGCCGAGTTGTCTGTCCCCTGCCTATGGCCAGGAGCAGCAGGAGCAGGGAGCACAACATGGTGGCACCTGGAAAGAGAGCCACAGGTGAGGGCTGGACGTGCTAGACACTCTTACCCTGCCCTGTAAGACACAGGCCATGGGCAGGGATGCAGCTGGGAGCCATCGCAGCCCCTGGCCTCCTGGAACACTCCTAACTCCTAGTCCTGCATGGTTAAGGGCATTAGGCCCAGGTGGGTGGATTTCCAGCTGGGAGCATCAGATTCAAGTGGCCTGCTTTGATTGAAGTGAGGGTACCCGGACATCTTACTGTGAAGCCTGCTGGACCAGATGGTCTCTTGGCTGGTTTTATTGTATCTGCTGATCGGGGCTCAGAGGCTGCTGGAGACCCAGGAATGCCAGAGGGGAGCTCACAATGCAAGGGTCAGGTTGGGGTGATTTCATTCACCTTGGCTGAAAAAGATACCACAGGCTGGGTGCTGTAGTGACTGCTTCAGAACATGGTCTCCTCTAACCCTACAATGCAGAGTCCTGTCTCACAGGAGTGAACTGAGCCTTGAAGGGTTGGGGACAGGCATCGACACAGCTAAGCATGGTGGTGCCAGGTGGGGGTAGACACAAGAGCCAGGATCCTTCTGCTGCCATTGACAGGGCCTGAGCACACTCCTTCCACCTTAGCTGGCTCTGTAGTAGCATCTGCCCTTTGCTTGGAGGCCCAGTGTCTAGACTCCCAGATATGCTTGCGGGACACCGGCCACCCTAAGCCTCCACCTTCTTGTTTGTGCCCTCCTCCCAGCTAATAGCTGGCTCGCCTCTCTGCCCCCTCCCCTTTTAACTGTGGGGGAAAAAAACAGCTGGCTTGTTACTCTGTTGTGCAGAAGAAGAAATCGAGGCTCAGAAAGAACAAGGGCCTTGCCACCAAACTAGCACAAAACAGGGCGGGATCAGACCCAGGCCTGCTCAGTTCGGTCTCAGTTTCCCACCTCCAGAAGGCCTGGTGGGGAGTAGAGGAGAGTCCAAGAGGGGCTTTCCTCACAGACATGCTACAGCTCAAGTCACCCAGTTCTCGACCTCAGTTCCGTCTGTGAAATTACAACAGAATCCATTACATATTCCTGACACTATGTGTGTGTCAAATCTAAGGTCCACACTAGGCATACTCAAGGTTTGTGTTCAAAGTCTTTCAGTGCAGGTACGGGGTGGTTTTAGCATGGTTATGCAGTGAGGACCTCTAAGTGGGCCCCTACCCTGCTAGGTAACCATTCAGGACACAGAAGGCTCTTCAATGGGTGGCCTTCCCTCCTGCCTGTCTCCCTTCCATGGGCCTCCAGGGAAGAAAATAGGGTAAAGTGGGAGGGGTGAGGACCTGCCAACCTTCTAGACTGGGGTAGGGGAGCAGCTGGGTAGCATTACCAGCCCTGCATGAAACTTTAAAGGGGCAGCCACTTGATCTGGACACCGGCTCTGTCCTGGGCCTGGGAGAAGTGGGGCTGGGCTCTTCTCCACTACCCAACCCAGGGGGCCCTTCTTGTCCACCCCTTTCTTTTGCAGAGACCAATTCAAGGATTAAACCCTGTCCAGGTGCATCCTGGGCTTGATCCCAGCCAAGGCAGGACAGAGTTCCAATGTTTGCACCAAGAAGAAAATATTAAGTTGCTCCAGGCTCCTTTGTTCTCCAGGGAGCTTTTCAAGAGTTCATTACCACTACCCTACCCTCAAGCTAGCTCTTAACCACCCTGCCTGGGGGTTTAAACAAACAGCACAAAGGGCTGGGAGATTACCCTTTGCTTCCCAGAGGTGATTATACAATGTGTCCACAACATGCCAGGCTGCTTCTCCGGCACACTAGCTTATGTAACCCACCAGGCAAACACAGCCCAGATGTTTCTCTCCTCTAAGTCCCAACCCTGTACTCCACACAGGGTGGCAATGTCTGTCCTGCCAGCCTCACAGAGTCCTTACCACGTCAGTGACGAGCTGAGCACATCCTTCCCCAGAGATTCTGGACTGGTGCAGTGGTTCTCAAGCTGAGATGACTTGCACAGGGGTGCAGGTGCAGGCTCTCCTGGGCAACCTGACTGATAAATGCACTAGGCCAGAGCCTTGCTCTGCTGTGTCACAAACATGTCCTGGGGCCCCTGCTATCATACCCAGGCCCTGGGGAACTCTAGTAGGAAGTGACAGACAGCCACTCTTACATAGTCCTCAACTTTGCCCAATGAGACCAATTGTCCCACCCCTCGTTAAGGGATCAGAAGAGTCACTTGCTGACCTGTGAGATTTGGATGCATTACAGGGAAGATGAAAGGGGAGGACAGTCCTCTGAAGAGCTTCTGCAAGGATTGGAGATATGTCCTCCTAAAGGGGACATGGCCAGTACAGCCAAGACACTGGCAGACACACAGCGTGGGCTGCTGTGTCTCTCCAGGCTAGATGCCTGACCCAGCGACCCCCATCATGCTTCACCATACTTCACGACACTGATAAGAAAGCAAAAGGGCAACTGTGTTGGGACAAGTCCCAGGGGAGTCAGGACCCGTTTCCCATCGTCACAATAAGGGGTTTAGTATCAACCCTAAAGTTACAGGGTTTTAAAGCTGAACAATGCACAAAGCAGGGGTTAAGCCTTGTCAGGGTGAGAGTGCATGAGAATGTCAGGGCCTTGTCCCCATTCACAGCAAACATCATTAACATCATCTTGAACCCGGGAGGCGTAAGTTTTTGAGACTTTCACATTTTTACTTCCAGAAGTTCGATTTCCTCTTCTGTGTAACAGTACTAATGTTGCCCAGCCTGAGTTCTGGGACCTCTACTCTGGGAGAAAGTGCAATCACACATGCAGACAGGCAGCGCAGACATACGGATAATACAGACAGACAGCCACCCAAGGATGCCTGGGGAGAAGAGAGACCACTAGGTCAAGAGAAGATCTTTTCTACAAACCTTGTCCTGCAGATGAAAGACATCCACGGATCAACAGAACAAGGCAAGATACTTCACATAGCTCCAGTGTGGAAGGCAGCAGGTCCTGTGAGGCCAGCCATGAGCTATTTAGGGCCCACAATGTCAAGTCTACTCTAAGGAAAAGTACACTGTCGGTTTGTGAGGCCGAGCATGAACAGTGTGAATGCTATCTATGGGCCTGGCAGCTCCAAGGGGCTCTCTCCACGTCACCTCCCAAATCTGCCAGGAGACAGAAATGGCCATGTAACTGCCCTCAGGATTGTTTGTAAAACTACAGAGATCACCTTCTCCCAGACATAAGGCCTCTGGAAGTTGGAGATGCCCTTCTCCCTCCCCTGCCTGAATCCCCATAGGGACTGAACCCTCTTTGTCATTCGGGTAGCAACTTCTCTAAACAGTTTGCTGCTGTCCACACCGTTCACAAACACAGAGAATTCCAGGCTTGTGGGCTGCAGAACCCTTGGAGACGATGGGTGACTGAGGCCCAGGGGGGCAGTAAAGGAAATGCAATGGCAGAATCAGGCCCAGGAGCTGGGACCCATACCTCACACTGCTCCTTGCATCACACACATCTACCCGCCCGCCCGTTCCTGACTAGCCAGTGGAACAAAGCAGTCTCTGTCCCCACAGACTCCCCCCACCCCTCCCTCCTGGCCTCTCACACATCAGGCTACCAATAGGCCTCCTTTAGAGGCTACTGAGAAAATTCAAATTTCAAAGGTAAAGTGAAGCATGGTGTCAGCAGCTCCTTCTTAACCTGTGTTTCCTTCCCTAACTGGGGTCAAAGCCAGACTCGGTGGCAAGAGGCAGTGACAGGGACCCAGCAAGAAGCCATGTGGGACAGGCTGGGAATCCAGGCCTGCCTACTGGAGTCTGAGTCCTCCACAGCACAAGAGTGAAGGCTGTGGAGCATAGTGCAGGAATGAAGCAATCTGATTGGTAAGTGCTTAGACCCTCGAGGCCATGATCTTCTAAACTTCCTGGAGGTGGTCACTAATCTTCCCATCCCTTTCCACCCAGGTTCCTATATGCAGACCTAGGCACCCAGCAGATCCATGGTTCACACTGACTTCTCAGACATACTGCTGGGAGATAGTTGCAGGTTGGTCCAGTGCCCAGCACCCACCTTGGATGGGCCTTTGTTCATCCAGCTATTCCTCAACCGCAGGCGGCCTTGCATCTCACTCCATTTAGTCATGAGCACACTGACAGCAATGAAATCCACAGGGAGAAATTTCAAAGCATCCTGCCCACCAACCACTTAGTGCTGGGAACTGGAATTAGAATTTTGGGGACATACTCAGGGCCTCCGGGGCTGCTTTCTCTACTGAATCCAGACTGCAAGCACATCAGCTCCCCACACGTGTCACTGCTGCTTCAAACAGTCCTTAGCTGTGTGATTATTATCCCTGTTGCACAGGCAAACAGCAGCATGCTATTCAGCCAGGTAACAGAGCAACCAGACCCAGACACGTTAGCTCCAAACCCACACTCGGCCTCAACTTAGAAACAGGGAGTATGGACAGGCGCTTAGAGCTGGTAATGCTGGGCTGTAATGACATGTTTACCTGTCTGTCCTCTGTGGGCAGGGAAGGGGGAGTTAGGATTTTTAATCCTCCCCACCCCCACCCCACCCCCTGGAATCAGGTACTATATTAAGAAATACCAGGTATTGGCAGGGTGCATGCCTTTAATTCCAGCACTTGAGAGACAGTGGCAGGAGGCTCTCTGTGAGTTCAAGGCCAGCCTGGTTCACACAGTGAGTTCCACGGCAGCTGGGGCTATATAGTAAGACCCTGTTTCTAAACAATCAATCAAACAAACAAAAAAGTCTAGAAGATCTGTCAGGCACACAGATGGCATGCTGTCACCAAAGGACACCTCAGCCTGTCCCATGCACCCTCAGCTATTATGTTTGGTCACCCTGTAAAACCAGGGAGTTAGATGGTATTGCACTTGTGTTACAACTGTTTAAAGAGTCTAGAGAGGTTCAATGATTTGCCTAGGGTCACATGACCAGTGAGGAGACAAAGGCTGGACCCAGGTATTCTGGACCTAGCACCCAGCTTCCTTCATGACATCTTTGGTACAGGTGGGGCCTGGAACTTCGGCACCCTGCCACCCAAAGAGAATCATCTACAGGGATATAGACAAGGCCTCAAATGCTGTTTTCTCCTTCCAGCTGATCTTTGGAATAACTGTCAAGCTTCCACCAAGCAGTATATGAGAACATAGGGAGAGGCTACATGGAGCAGAAGAAAGGTTTTGCAGACTGGACACCAACCTTACAGGCTTTCACTGACTGTGGGGACCAAGTCGAGTCTTGGGACATGGAAGGAAGGCTGGTGCTGCTCCCAGTAGGGCCCTGATCTGGTACTTAGAGGAAGCAAGGACTCAGCTTGCTGGCACCAGTGGGTCTCAGTGCATGCTCAGTCCTGCTTCTGTGGGTGACTGCAGGGCCAGAGAAGAGATATTACAACACACAGGATGGAGAGACCAAAGGCCATCCTTGGAGGCCTGGAATCTCTCAATGTCCCATCCAGGGCCCTGACCAAGTTCCTCTGGGATCTGGAAAGGTCACAGAGGCCTGAGGAGTCAGAAGCAGTGGTGCCACCTTTGGCTGAAAGAGAATTTGGCATCATAAGGGCAGTCACTCCTGGGCAAGCAGGTCACTGCCTTTTGTCAAATTGGGCAGCCACTTCACCCTACCTAGGGCAAACTCGGGAGACCTCTGTAGCCACCTGGCCTCTGGCCTCTACCTCTAGACAATGCTATAGCTCTAAACAACCACCATGCTGGGCACCAGAGTACAGACAGCTTCCAACTGAAGCTCAAGACCCCACGCATTCCACAAAGACAGCCTCTCCGGTTAGGTGCCTGTCACTCCCCAGAGATCTCTGCCTTTGCATAGGCTGTTTCTTTTGACAAAGATGACAAAGTGCCCCCCCCTTCTTTTGTCTTCCACAAACTCTTACTTGTTTGATTCAAAAGCTACCTGTTCTATGAGGCCTTCTAAGCCTAACTTAGCCCTCATTCCCCAAAAGGGTCACTGGGCTGTGGCTGTCTAAGAATGTGTCCAGCTCTAGTGCAGGGTGGAGGGACCTAGAGGAGTAAAATGCCAGGTCAGAGATGTGTCCTTTTGCTTGGGAACTCAGAGACTGGCTTAGTGGTAAAACCAGGTTCAAGATTGGAGTCCCCGCTCTTCCTGCCTCCACTGGGTTCACACAATGTAATCAGACACCTTGAAACCACATCTCAATTTATTAGCACATGCAGTAATCTGCCATGCTATTTAACATTCACAACATGTCAACCAGTAACTCCATTTGAAGGAGGCTAAGAACCAGACAGGTGAATGGCACAGTGTTCCAGTGACAGAGGTAGGAAGCCATGGCGTAAGAGCTCCCAGACTTTCTGAGTGAAGACATGCAGTATCTTATCTTCAGATAGGTCCCCCAGACACCAGCACCTTCCAAAAGCCAGAGCACAGCTTTGGACTGACCAATGCCACCCTTTCCTCCAGCAGCAGTCTCAAACTCCAGCCCAACTGGATGCTCAGTGATTCAGCCTCTCTCTGCCTCCCCTCCCAGCCTTTGAGTAACTCCTGTTCCTCAACACCCAAACTTGCACCCTGACACAAAGATAACCACCTGTGTGTGGTTTCCAGAACACACAGAGCCCTGCATGTATTGTGGGAGGCCCTTCCTGGCTCTGCTGTATTGGAAAACTTCAAAACCCTAAGCACAGTCATCTTCTCTACCATGTCCCTCTGCATGGTCCCTCCTGCTGAACCTGTCTTAGAACTTGCTTTGGCAGGGGACTTACAGGGTGGGTTCAGCGCTCTTCAGGAAGTATCCCCAATTCCTAGACTTGGTGCCCTGAGAAAGGATGGTGAACTCAATCAAGCACATCGCTTCTGCTCTGTGCCAGAAGTAATGATTAAGAATACTGGTCTGGACTCTGTCTCTTGACCAGTCTGTCATGTGAAAGATAAGTAACATCAGCTTTTGCCTTTCACGGGTCAGTGGAACAGGGTGGGTGGAAGCCCTGTGGACTCAAGTTCCCCAGGATGGTGCATTCCAACCTTCTCTTCCTAGGAACAAATTAATGCCTGGCAACACAATAGTTTCCAGGCTCTGGGATCACAAGGGAGTGATCACAAGGAAGTCTCGACTCCCTCTTTCAAAAGGAAGGACTAGAAATGCAAAGGAAAGTGATCATCCTTGCCTCTTTACCAAGTTTGTGGTCAGCTTACTCCCACCTTCCCCCACATAGTACTGGGCAAAGTTTGTGGTTAAAGATTGGGGTGGAGGGCTGGAAACGAAGTATCAGGCTTATCTTTGCCACCCAGGATCAAAAGCTCAGGCAGGGACCGAGCCCCTCCCACTCTGGAGCCTTTGCAAGTCTAGACTTATCCAAAAGGATGGCAGGGAGCAAGGAAGGATCTAAGTTTGAGTCACCTCTGGGCCTGGCCAAGTGTGGGCGGGCTGCTCTCAGCTAAGCTCTGGAGGCTGGTAACCACCACTGCGCGCTCTGCTCAAAGCGGCAGCGAGGCAGCGAGGAGTTCTCATCCCATCCTAACAGTGACCAAATCTGAGTGGCGCTGAGCAACACACCCCGTGCCCTACCGTGGGCCACTGACTGCCCCATAGGAAACTAGTGTGTGCAAACGCCCCCACCCCCACCCAACCGGGGCTAGGGGCCGACAGCAGGCCGGATGCAGGCAAGCTGTGGCCTTTCTCACCTATTGGATCGTAAGGTTGGTCCCCTCACTCTAGGGTCCGGTTAAATGCAGAGCGATACTCAAAACCAAATATCAAAACCAAACAAGTCTCTTCACTAAGCTGGCAGGTTTCTCCGTCCACACTTGCTCTGTCCTAAGAAGGCAGACAACTGCCAGCAACGCGTTGCTCCTGGGTCTCCAGCCTCAGGCCGGAGCCCAGATCAACCGCGTCCCTCCCTCCTCCCTCCTCCCTCTAGGGTCCTGTGAGGGTGTCCAGCACGCTCCGCCCCGTCCTGGCCCGGGCCAGTCGCCAGGCACTGCGATCACCCCCGACCCACCAATCCTATCCCACCCCCATGCGGCTTGAAGGACCTCCGGAGGTGAGAGAGAAGAGGGTTGCCAGTAGGCGTTGCCGGAGGAACCCGGAGAAAAGTTTGAAGCCAAGTAGGGGGAAACGGTGGACAGCAGGGAAGCGGGGAGTCGGGACAGCCCAGGCCCTCAGCGCACACACATGCCCCACGGACACCCAACCTAGACACGTCGACAGGCACAGACCACGTATGCGGACACACGCGGAGAGCCCACCGGCCCCCACGACCAAACGCCAAGCTGCGAAATACGGGGACACCGGCGCAAGACAGCCATGCAAAGCCACGCACACACAAAGGCACAGGCAGATGCTGGCTTCTGAAACCAAATCCACAAAAGACCCACTACCGTGAGTTGCACGTGTTCTTACAAAGACCCTGGAGGCGCCGGCCCACGCCCACGGCCCCCTGGCAGAGCCTTTGTCTGCTGAAAGCCCTATCCCCTGCTTCCCCCACCCTGCGCTGCAGTGGCCGGGTGTCCCGGAAAAGTTGAGGGGCCTCGGCGGGACCCGGACCCGCCCCTCGCGCCGGCCGGTCCACGGGATGGGGCGGCGATGTTGGACTCAAAGGCTCCAGATCTCCGCATGCACGCCGATCTCATTGCGCCTCGGGACAGCACCCACCTGGCAGGTCCACAGCTGACGCCTCGGCACGCTCACCTAGGCAGCCCGGCGCTGGCCGGTGGGCCGGCGCTTTTCTCCACCCTGCACGTCCCGCCCCAAGTCCCCGCCCGCCGCCGGGCTCCCCTTGCTGGGCACCCAGTGGCTGCGGCGGCTCTCAGCCAAGAGGCTCAGGGAACGTCATCAAAGTGCAAGTCTAGCGGTGCGCTCTAGCAGCCCAGCCCCCGCCCGCCGGCCGAGCACGGGTTCCACCCTAGGGAGCGTCTCAAAAGTGCGATGTTCCCTCCCACTCCACTAGGCCTCTCTTCCAGCTTCCTGAAACCCGGATCCCTGCCCCCCTCTGCGCGTCCTAGTAATCTCAGCAGATGGCCGCTGGGTCGAGAACATCTGGAGGTCGCCGGAGTGGGAGGGAGTGTGTGTGTGTGTGTGTGTGTGTGTGTGTGTGTGTGTGTGTGTGTGTGTGTGTGTGTGTGTCTGGAGGTCGCCGGAGTGGGAGGGAGTGTGTGTGTGTGTGTGTGTGTGTGTGTGTGTGTTATAGAGTGAAGCAAAGTTCTCGCAAAGTCTCCACCCTCCCATTAAAAAAGTTTTCAAAAGGGTCTAGAGCCATTAATGTGTGTGAGAGACAAACAGACAGACAGACAGAAAGGACAGCGAGTTTAAGCAGAAAGCTGGCAGATAGCAAGTGACGGATAAAGCAACAGACATAACAGACTTATTTTTTCTTTCCTGGAGGGAAAGTCAACTTCTGGCTGCATTTCCAAGAAGGGAAACTGCTCTGTAGTAGCAGCTTAAGTCTTCCCCTCCCTCTGCAGCCCATCCTTTCCAACTGAAATTTATGCAAGAAAAAATTTCATATATATGTATATACATATATATCCATATCCAGACAATCCCAACCTCTAGAGGGAGAACTTCCAATAAAGGGTTAGTGGGACGTTTGGTATTGGTTCTGGACCTCCCAGGAACTTGCCACTTTGGAAAGAGCCCCTAGGTGGGGGAAATCCAGCAATGTTCCCCTGCCATGGCCCAGGCTTGTTGCATTTAGTCTTTTTGTTTCTTTCTTCCTTATTTAAAAACAAAATCTTTGCTTGGGCTTGTGCGTGTGTGTGTGTGTGTGTGTGTGTGTGTGTGTGTGTGTGTGTGAGAGAGAGAGAGAGAGAGAGAGAGAGAGAGACTTAGGAAAAGGAAGTTCTCTGTAAAATTCCAACTCACACTCAGAAGAAAGTGGTTGTTCAGACCCTTGTCTTGCTCAGAGCCATAGAGTGACCCTGGGGACTCACCTGGGCTGAACTCTGCTAGTTAAGGGGAGGGGGCAGTGTTCTGTGTCTGTGTCTGTGTCTGTTACCCCAGTTCTGGGGAGCTGGAAGCAGGATAACTGCATTTTTAGACAGTCTAGCTACGAGTGAGACTGTCTCCGAGAGCCAAAAGAAGAAAAGAAAAAAGAATCCCATCATCTGGGCTTGGAAATAGGAGGTCTTTGGGGGTCTTCTCACTGTGGCCTCATCTGAGATTACAACATGTGGGCAGGGTGACCCTTCCAGTCAGGCTACTGGAACTTCCTGAGAAGTTGGAACTCTTCTTCCTATAGAGTAGGGATACAGGGGAAGAGTACAGAGTTGGTGAAAGAATATACCATTAGATCAAAGTAAAAAAAAAAAACAAGTTTATTGAACACACTGGGAGAATTCAAGGCGGGGGTGGGGGCAGCACAAAAAGAACCATCTGTTACCCTCTTTTTATTCAGTTAAAATTATATTTATTCCATTGTGCATGGGGTGGGGTAATGTACCTATATGTGTGGAGGTCAGAGGACAGCTTATGAGGTGTCAGTCTCTCCTTCCACCAGGGATGGAACTCAGGTCACCAGGTTTGAAGGAAAATTCTTTTACTCACTGAGCCATCTCACCAGCCCACTATCTTCTTGGACTAGTATGACCATCATACAATTCCCATCATTCTATTCCCACCATCCAAATGATAACAGTTCTGATAGCTCAGTGTTCGATTCCAGGAGGATGCTGACTTTAGAGAGAGCAGCTCTGTGGTCTTCCTTCGAGATTAATTTTGGTTGGCCATGTTCCCTTGGTGGGAAAGTCTGGTTACAGGTTTTAATTATCTTGATCATTAATGGCTTGGTGGTTGGTTTTTGAGATGTAACATATTGGGCAAGATAATGTGTTTTAGGGCTTAATGAACATCTATCTGAAGGTATGGCCTCTTCTACATAGGACCCTAAATGGGCTTGAGATGTGTCTCTGTTCAGGGGTGATAGGAGGCCACTGGGAGGAGAATTAGCCAGGTCTGTTGAGTTTCTTGTATTAACTTATTAAGGAGCCTCTTTAATGTCTGAACCGTCTTTAACTCTCTCTGCCTTTCCTATGGTTGTGTGTATCCCACAGCATTCAAGTAGGACTTATTTGAAGGATCTCACTGATCCCTTGTGTTTTGCTTTTTTTTTTTTTTTTTTTTTCAGATGAAAGCTAAACAATTTGTTATCTGACAGTAGAGAGAGAGGGGGCTAAAGTGAGAGACTGCTTGTTCAAGTGCTGTTGTGCCCTCTATAGTCCTTTGGGTCTCAGTGGGAAAGGCTTTTATGCAGTAGTTGCCCATGTTCCTGTAAATAACATCTCACCCTTGCTCCCATAAGCAACCTTGACTAAGCTCATTGGCTCATCAAAACAAAATAAAAGGGGAGCTAGCTGGGAAGAAAAAAAATCCCCATGGGAATTTGACCTGAGAAAGTGTAGGGGTTTGGTTCAACAGCATGCAGAGACCAAAGGCTCGTTGATAACTCTGAGGTTTTACAGTACCAATAACTGTTGTCAGGCCTATGACTACCAGGCAGAGTAGACTGGTAGCCATGTACTTCCAGCTTGGGGGAAGAGGTGCCTGGGAAAGTTTGAAATTTTGAGAAAACATTTTGTAGCAGTTGTGCACAGTGACTTCAGGGAGAGAGGAACAGCCCCAGGGGATCTTTTTTTTTTTTTTTTTTTTCTTTTGTGAAATAGAAGCTGTCTGGTGGTGTGCCTAGGTAAGGGGTCAGGGAGAGTTTGCATGTGTTGAGCCTGTACTGAGTTTTGACAAGATGTCTCTCCCTAATAGTGTGATAAGCATTTCAGTAATACTAAGAATGAATGTGTAAAAGATAAACTTTTTAAAAGGAGCATTCTAGAGAGTGTGTGGGGGGTGTCTTAACTATGCAGGGGTCACCCACCAACTCCACCGGGGAGGAGCAAAGACCACAAAGTGAGTCCAAGGAAATTGATCAGAAGAAGTGGCCTCCCTATTGATTAAGAAATGGATTCTAGTTCCTGATGCATCTGAGGCTTTTCCATGGAGATGAAAAGATATGACAGTCTGTATACAAATAGTCTGCTAGACAAGCCAGTCCCCCCACCCTTGGAGTCCTAGCCATCATGTTTCCAGAACTTTGGGTATTGAGAAGGCCCTCCCTTTTTAGAGAGAGGCAGTTCTAGGTCCAATGTCCCTACTATTTGCAAAGTGGCCACAGGCCAGTTATGACAGTCTTGACAGAAGTGTCCTGGCTGACTCAATGATGGGTCAGACAAGGGAGGGGTGTTACTTGAATTAGGTGTCCCCATAAAGGAGAAAAGGGACATAGATGAAGCTTTAGGCTGTTTGTATTGTGATGGAGGTACCTCAAGTTGCCTGTCATAGGCAAGGGCAGCTGCTATTACATTCCCCTCCCTCCCTTTCCTTCTTGGTCCTCAAACCTTTCTCCCAGTAATGGAGTGCCTTGAAGCAAAGCAAGGAAAGAGGTTTTGGGTCCCTTCTCCAGCTTTGGAAGATTTCATCAGATACCTGGGGAGGACTAACTGGTGAAATGGGTTGAAAATGACAAGGTCTTCAGGCCTTCATGTTAGTAGTTACACATGGCCTCAGCCAGTCTAAGGATAAAAGAGCTGGGGTCTCAGTTTGGTTATCTCTCTCAGTTTGGTCTAACTGACAGGTTTTATCACTACCGGTTAATCATTGTGAACATGTAGTTATGGCCCTCTTTACCTGGATCCTTCTTGTTAAGGCTACCCAGGATTTGTTTGGGGGAAGTTGAGGGAGATGCATCTTTCAATAGGAGGGGCTGCCCATGGAATTCAGATGTGGGTCTCATTAGCTCATCACTTAGCCAGCGAGTGACTGAGAACAGGTCTTTTCCTCGGGTGAATAGCTGGTAGTAAAAAGAATACATATATATTCTGCCAAGTTAGGTCAAAGGAGATGGAAAGGCTCTGAAATACTTAAATGCAAGCAGAGAAGCCTTGGCTAAAAGAGCCCACTTTGGTTACTGTCTGGGCAAGGTCAGGTATAAAGAGGGGAACATAGCCTTCGACAGTGCAGTTTTCCATTGGCTATCTCACAGAGGGTTTACAGGCTTCTTGAAGCAGCATCATAATGCCATCAGCTCTTTAAAGTTATTTCCTGAAAGGATGTGTGAAGAGGAGAGTGTATCAGAGCCCTTTGGCTATAAGAAAGTGGCTGAACTCCTCTGGGAAGATGGACTTGGTGAGTAGTTAGTGGATAGGATGGTGTGCAATGAAGGAGGGCTATCCAGGATGTCCTGGCCTTCTGAGAACTCTGGCAATCTATCTAAACACCTGTGGCAGGATTTTTTTTTTTTTTAGATTTAGATCTTGAGAAAGGGACATAAAAGCTTGGATATATATAGGAGACCTTTGACCACTTAGTACATTGTGAAAGAACTGGCTAAGCAAAAGGAGGGTTGTGGTAAAGTGTCACACAAGGGTCACATTTGCAGATCTCAGAGTTTGTACTCCAGCCAATCCACATTACAGAGGAACACAGGATGTTTCTTTTTTTAGGGTCTGGGGCATCAAATTTACCTCTGTTCTTTAGAATAGATCCCAATGGTGAATGTGATGGATGAGAAGGGGCATGTCCCATGTTGAGTCAAGGGTGGATGACTCTAGTTCCTAGTGAGGCATGCCTCTAGGGGACAGGGGTCCAAGATGATTGCAGCAGAACTCAGGTACAACTTTCAAATAAGGTGAGCTTGTAACTCTTTTGAAAGGACCTCCTGATGAGCGGTCTTAGCTGCTCTATTTTTTTTTTTTTTCAACACATTTTTCCATGAATTCTTTGGGAATTTCACATCTTGTGTCTCAACCTCCACTCATTTCCCAGTCCCTCTATATCCACCCCTCACCCAAGCAGTATCCCCCCAAAATAAAACAAAAAAAATCAATTAAAGACAAAACAAAAAAGCCACTTTGCCTTACCATCCTTCTCCAACACATCTTTGTCTTAGTATGATCAGGAGCTGCCGCATGTCAATGCAGTGCATCCCTTTGTCCACTCAGCTTTACTTGCTAATGTTCATTGCAATGAGTTGTTGGCCTGGCTCAAGGCCTCTGGTTTCTGATGGGTCATCGATACTGGACCCTCACTGAAACTGCTCTCAGACTTTCTGCTGTTGCCCCAGTCATGGAGATCCTGCAGATGTGGTTCTATAGGACCAGTCCCTTCACACACACCAGCAGGTCATAGATGGGGCAGATGTTGGGGAGTGGCAGCTCAAAGCCCCAGATGTGTCTGGGTGGCACCTGATTGGATCAGTATGGGACAGCTGGGATCAAGCCTTCAAGTGAGGGGCACAGTTGGCTGTTCTATGCTAGTGCCATCAGGGCCAGCTCTTCCAACCTGTGGTGAGGGGCGGTGCCCTCTCTCCTCAATGTGGGGCCAGCTCTCCTTGTGAGGGGCAGGGGCAGTAGCCAGCAGGGACAGGGCAGCTCTTTCAGGGCCAGCGAAGGGCAGTGCCAGCTCAGCATGACCCTCAGATTTCAACATACATGGTTCCTATGGATCCTGTGGTAACAGGGGTCATAGAGATCAACACAGACCCCAGCTGCAGCAGGAACAAGGACCCAGATATGGCCCTTGGCAGTAGCTCAGGCCTGGACTTCACCATGGATCCAATAGCCACATAGATCAGTATGGCCCTGGTGGCAGTGTGGCCCTTAGACACCAACATGGACTCAAGTGGCTGTCCAGACCCTGGGCCATAGACCTAGACATGGCCCTTAGCAGCAGCTCAGGCCCAGACATCATCATGGCCCAGGTGGCAAGTGGGTCACCCACATCGGCCTGTCCCTGATGGCCTTTGATTGTTCAGTTCTGCCTTTCTCCACAGTACATGCTCTGTTTCTCTCTCTCTCTCATTTCTCTGCCACATATTTGCTCATCATTGCAAGGCACCAGGTGGGCCCGTGGATACGTTCAGGCAGCCCAGGCCGTCCTAGCTGCTTTTCTCTACTGTGACAAAACAAACAAACAAAAACCAAAACCCAAAAAACACCAAGGAAACGTGAAAGAAACCATTTAATTTGGAGCTCACAGTTCAGAAGGTTAGAGTTCATGACCATCATGGCAGCGAGCATGGCAGCTGACAGGCAGGCATGACGGTGGAGCAGTATGAGAGCTCACATCCTGATCCACAAACAAGAAACAGAGAGAGGGAGAGAGAGAGAGAGAGGGAGAGAGAGAGAGAGAGAGAGAGCACTAACTGGGAATGGCATAGGCTTTTGGAATCTCTAAGCCTATCCCCAGTAACACACCTCCTCCAACAAGGCCATGCCTCCTAACCCTCCCCGAACAACTCTGCCAACTGAGTACCAAACATTCAATGCAGGCTAGTCTCATTCAAATGGCACAGTATCTGTCAAGAATCGGAGATGCCACTTTATATAAAGGGGTCCCCTTTTTTAAAGACTCCTTTAGTGTTGGGGCCAACAGTTAACAGGTTCTGAGAGCACTAGGTGAGGTTCAGAAAGAGAGAGACATATCAATCTGATATCTACTGTGGGGACATTCTCGGAGGCGTGAAATCAAGTCTCAGGAGGGCTGGCCAGGAGAGATAGGAAGGGGACACTACAGGATGTGTTGGAGCATCCACTGCAATGAACACAGATCAGCCGATGTTGTCGTGTGGTTGGTACCAGGAACAGGGACCGAGAACAGAGAAAGAAAACAGTCTCCTTTCCCAGGCTGTCTCAGGCCTTCAGATCTCATCAGAATTGCCTTGGCCAGAAGTTCTCAGTTGCCAGGAGAGGAGGGCTTTTCTGTCGAATGGTCTGTTAGAGAGGCCAAGTTCCTCAGCCTTTGTGGGAGTGTGTGAGAGCAGAGAGGCCTTTAGACTTCACAAGAGAGTTGCCCCAACCTTGAGCCTCAGTGGAGAGTCCTGAGACAGGAAGAGAAAGTTCCCAAGAAAGACCCCCCTCTGGGATGATGGGGTAGTGGCAAACAGAAAGAGAAATTTCCCCGAGGCTGGCTTTCGCTCCCCTCAAGACAGTGGCAAGAATGTGCTTGAGTAGGAAAACTTTCTAGTTACACCTGGGTCAGAATCCTTCTTGAAGCTTCTATAAACACCAGAAAAGGCTACCAAATGGGGGCAGGGGGTAACTGGCAGGTTGATGAGAGTTCCAGAGTAGGGAATGATAGGATAGTGGAGTACACTGCAGTAGCTCAGGCCAGGGCAGTGCTAGAACTGCCTGCCCCATGACTGTGGGCATGGGATTCACGCTTTGGAGCTGTTCCCTTGGATTAGGATGACCCATCATGCACTTTCTGCTATGCAAAAGAGGGAGGTCCTGGATGACATGTATGACCCTGGGCATAGGCTGGGTTAACACAACAGCAGCTCTGGTAGCAGGTCATAGTTAATGTGGCTCTGGTGGTTTGGCTGCCAGTTTCCTTTGGGGAGACACGAAGTGGAGGCATAGGCTCTAGAAGCCCTGTTAGGGACCTGGTCCTTATCTGTGGTGTCTCAATCATGGCTTTCTCGCCACATTTCCCTCTCCCCCATGAAGATGAATTACCTGGATGCAGGGGGCAGGGCACACTTCCACAGGCTTTAGACCTCGCTCTAAACTATTATAGCCGGGAGGGGGCAAGAGCTGAGGCAGGTTCCTTAACCACTAAGAGTTTCTGTCCCTGTAGAAGACGACATTGACATATTCTGTAAACACCATCTCTCTCTCTCTCTCTCTCTCTCTCTCTCTCTCTCTCTCTCTCACACACACACACACACACATACACACACACGTGCCACAATGCACAGGTAGAGGTCAGAGGACAAGTTTGTATTTGTGGGAGTCTGTTCTCTCTTCTACCATGTGGGTCCTGAGTATCAAACTCAGGATGTCAGGCTTGACAGCAAACTCCTTTACCTGCCAAGCCATCCTCTAGCTCTATTTTTATCCTTGTTATTGTTTTGTTTTTAAGACCTTCTAGTAACTCTAATGTCATATGGGTACTAAGGGATTTGAAAAGATGCTATGGGATTGGCAAAGTCCTTCCACATACATCCACATCTGTAAACGCAGTAGAGAAGTTGCTAGATGATGGAGCATCACCTCCACTTTACAGATGTGGAAACTGGGACTCTCATTGCTCATCTGTGGTCACACCACCAAAGCCTCGAATTGGTTCAGTGAGAATTCCAGTTATCCTACTGTAAAATCCAGTGTGGGCTCTGCTGGTATCTCAGCAGTCACTGTGTGATGAACACTCCTCCCCTCCTGCCAAGCCAAACGTGTCCCTAAATATTTCTCTCCCACCTCCATGCTTCCCCCCTGTCTGGAAGGCTTGTTCCACCCAATCTGCCAGCTGCAGTCCTTGCTAACTGCTTCTGAAGCTGCCACCTCCTTTGCAAAGACATTTCCATTCCCCAGTTTCCCTTCCCTTAAATTGGCAGCGTTTGTTCAGTGCAGCCTGCCCTTCAGCTCTGCCTGCTGCTTGCATCCTGCTCTGTCTGCTTACAGCTCCTTGCAGTTTGAGGCTTGCAGGTGTTTGCACCTTCTTTCTACAGAGGCATGCCTTGCTCACCTATCTCTTACCTTCCTAGGTAAACCTCTTCCAGGAGATTCCCACCCCCATGCCCCTAACCTTCCACCGTGGTGAGCCCTTCCTCTGCTCCATGGGATGTCTAGGATACCTCAATGCAAACATGTGAACTCCAGAGGCAAACTTCTCAGGTTTGAATCTCAATGTGAGAGTGGACAAGTTTCCACAGCGATATCTCCCTGCCTTGTGTTTCTTTTCTGTGGTGAAAGAAATAATGGCCCCTACTTGCAAAGTTGTGATAAGGATTAAGGAATCAATTCATGTTGGATGTGTGGATCAGTGCCTGGCATATAGTGAACCCATGATGAGTATTGACTGCTTCTCTGTGATTTATTAGTTTGTTTGATAGCACTGGAAAAAGGTTTGTAAAACTGGACGGGAAAGAGGATTCTGGGAAGACTGCAGAAAAGAAGCATCAGAAATCTATCTCCCAAATGTCACAAGAATTGATTGGTGGTTCTGTCTGCTGTGCCCGTTATGGAAATCTGGAGTCTGTTGAATCCTGGGAGCTTTCACGGAAGGCTTGGTTCACAGCTGGTTGATTTCAGTCCATTGTAGCTGGAACCCAGCAGCAGCAACCTGTACCCTGTCCTGTGGTAGGCAGCTGTGCAAGCCATTGCTCAAAAAGGGCAGGTCTCAGTACAGGTCCAGAGCCCAGAACTCAGAGTCTCATTGTCACTTCTGAGGTGGAGACATGAACAAGACACTGGGGCCTTCGTTGAAGTTCAGTTCCCCAGCTGAAGCAGCTACCAGGAGACTTAAAGGACCCATGTCCTTCCCTCTCATTTTTTCCCTTTGCCCCATCGGGAGTCACACACTAAAAAGCATCTATTCCAGAGGAGCTAGCTGTATACAAAGAACCCTACAAAGTGACAAAGTGACCACACATAGCCAGGGAAGGGCTCAGACTCGGGAAAAAAAAAGACCCCAAAAACCTATTTATACCCTAGGCTGATCCTTGCCACAACTTTTTTGTTTTGATTTGCTTTTTGAGAGAAGGCCTCACTATACATACAGTTCAGGCTGCCCTGCAACTAGGTAACACAGAATGCCCTGACACATGCATTCCCTGCTTCTGCCTTTTCAGAGCTGGGAGGACAGGCATGTACCACAATGTCCACCAGGACAGCCAACCAACTAACTGCCATGAACCCTGTAGGAGAAAACTTTTATTGCAAGACCTACTGAATTGCTAGTTTAAAATGTTCCCTATTTGAATTAAGAGAGAGAGAGAGAGAGAGAGAGAGAGAGAGAGAGAGAGAGAGAGAGAGAGGCTGGGTGAGATGTTTCAATAGGTAAAGTGTAAGTCTGGCATCCTGCAATCCCTGTAATCAATATAAAGGTAGAGGGAAGACTGATGGCACTGAGTAATCTTCTGACTGCCACATGTATGTCATAACATGTACACACACCCTCTGCATCATCCACATGCACAATGATATTAATACTAACAATGGTAGTAATAAGTAAACAGAGGCCAGGCATAGTGGTTCACACATTTAATCCCAGCACTTGGGAGGCAGAGGCAGTTAGATCTCTGTGAGTTCGAGGCCAGCCAGGTCTATACAGTGAGTTCCAGGACAGCCAAGGCTATGTAGAGAGACTCTGGTCTTGAAAAAAATAAAAAAAATAAAAATAATAAAATTAAAAAAATAAACATTAAAAGGAAACTGAGAAAGATCTGACAACAGATCTATTCTAGAAGACTTTAAAATACCCAAGGGAAAATTGAGAAAATGATGCATGCCCTGAACGTTAATAACCAAGAAAAGATATAAAAACCTCCAAGGGAACCTGGAGCTGAACCAAGATGGAAACTTCACTTCAGGGATGCAGGAGGTGAAAGGAAGATTAAACATCTCCAAAGTCAGCACAATGGGAATATTTATACCTAAGGAACAACAAACAGTTAGAGAACATAGACAGAGCTCTCATACAACAGGGAGGTCCTTCATGAAGTCTGAGAAGAACAGACATGGGTAGAGAGGACATTTAGGAAAATTATCATTAGAAACTTTGCAAATTTGATGCAAACATGAAGATAAACATCTATAATTTCAGCAACCTCCAAGGAGCTCCAAGGAGGATCTTGAGAGGGGCCTACTGAGACATTATAATTAAATTATCAAAAGCCAGACACAATCTTGAAAATCTTGCCAAAAGCCTCCTAGAGAAGCAACTACAAGGACTTCAGAGCAGGAGTCTCAGCAGAACTTGGAAGCAT